GCCCTGATCCTGGAGGGCGTCAGGATCGGCCCCGACGGTTGACCCGGCGCCCCCGCTGCGCGGCCGTCTGCTGCTGGTGAGCGCCGCCCAGCCACCTGGCCCGGCCCGCGACGCGGATTCCGCACCCAGATCCGGACCCCGAACCCACATCCTCAACAGCCCGGCGCCCCCTCCCCAGCCCGCCCAGGCCCCCGGCGTCCGGGCTTCTAAAACCTGAGATCCAAGCTCGTTCCCAAACCCTGGCCTTGCATCCTCCGTGTGTCTGACCCTCCTAACATCCTCACCTCTCTCTGCCCATGGCCCGTTGCCCCCCAGATGGACAACGTGGATGCTGAGAAGGAGGTGCCAGGGGGAGGCTGGATCGCAGTGGCCTATGTGGGCAAGGAGCAGGCGGCCCAGTTCCCGCAGGAGAGTCCGAGCGGCGGCCCGCGGGCCTATCCCAAGGCGCTGGTCCAGCAGGTGCAGGGGATGTATGTGGGGGAGGGGGTGGGAGGAAGGGGCGTCAAGGCACTTGCTAGATAGAGCCAGACTGCCACGTGGGACCCTAAGGAGCTTCCAGGAAACCCCTAGGCCTGGGTGGGGCCAGGGACCCCGGTTTGGACAATGGAGGCGGTGTGGTGTAGAAACAGGTGGAGGTGCGGGGAGTGGGGGAGTCAGAGAGTCAGGATGCTCCCCAGGCTCTGGGAATATCCAATGGGGAGTTGCGGAGGAGGGCGGGCACAGCATTGTCTGGGTCCCACAGAGCATCCGGGGGAAAGGCAGGAAGAATAAGGGTTTCTGCCCTTGACCTCAAGGAGGGTATAGCGGGTCTGCCCAGAGGAAAGGGTGCCTCCCACGCTAGGGGCTGAGAATAACTGGCGACAGGTGTGTGGGCAGGGCCGCGGGGGGTGGGCCAGCTTCGTCTCTGTCCTGCAGATGCGGAGGGCGCTCTTGCTGGGGTCTCGGCCTGGCTCTTCTCATCTGTACAACAACTCGTCCGAAAGTAACCGAGTAGCTTCGGGCACACGGGCTTGGGGGGGGGGGTTGGGAACAGGGCCTTTCCTATTATCCTTACGGCTGAGCTGGAAGATGGGTGAGGAGACCTGAAGGAGGTGCCAGGCCTGCAGTGAGGCGGCCGCTCTGGGGGTAGAGGGCACTGGCTCTCGCAAGGAGGAAGCTGGGCACCTGATTGACAGGCTCCTCCCTGGGCTCGGGGGCCGCCCTGGCCTGGCTGGTATGAGAACTGGGAAAACCTATAGCTGGGAAAGGCCTGGGGGCCGAAGCAGAAGGGCTGCAGAATGATAACTGGGGGAGGAAGGGATGGGGGGAGACGGGGATAGGGGGGTGGCTCACCTCCCAAGAGCCCTCCTTCGAGCTCCTCTTGGCTTCCCCTCCCAGGAGGACCCAGGCCACAGCTGAGATCACGAGTGGAGCGTCCCTGTCGGCCAACATCGAGTGGAAGCTGACCCTGTGGACCACCTGCGGCCTCTCCAAGGATGGCTACGGAGGATGGCAGGACCTGGTGTGCCTGGGAGGTAGCCGGGCCCAGGAGCAGGTGAGTGCGGGGGCGAGGAGGCTTGGGTAGGACCACAACCAGGCCGTGTCTCCTGGAGGCCGGGCTACGTGGGATTTTCTCTGGATTCCCCAGTGCTCAGCATCGAGAGGGTTCTGAGGGGTTCCGCCTGCAGGCCTTTCTCAGGTCCCTGTCTGCGCAGGGCAGGCCCCAGTCTCATGGGATGCAGCCTCCAGCAGGTGTCTGAGGACGTGGGCCGTGCGAGGCAGCTTCTAGTCGGGCAGACGTAGGTTCAGGTCCCGGCTCTGAAATCTTAGCTGAGTGGCCGCGGGCTGCGTGCTTAACCTCTCTGGCCTCATGCTCCTCGTTTGTGAACAAGGACGGCACGGGGCCACGGGATCCGCAGGGCACTGTGTGCATGAAGCACGTGGTGGGCACGGAGCGAACGGGCTGCTGCTGCCACTGGGATTATCTTTATTGTTACCAGGGTTCGAGTCAAGAGTCACCAAGTAGCTTTTGAGATCCTAGGGCGCTTGGGGCTCTATGCAAAGGGCTGTGGCGGGTACAAAAGGCTGTGAGGCCTGGGCTCGGCCCTCGAAGGGCTCAAAGACAAGCGGGGAGGGGACTCTTACCCAGAGGCGGCCGTGCAGCCCAGACTAATTCACGTTTGAGCAACGCGAAGAAGCACACTTCTGCGAGGAAGCAGGCCCTGATGCGGGGGCGTGGGAAGGCTTTCTGGAAGAGGAGGGAGACCCCCTGGGTCTCCCCCTGGAGGGGCAGACTACACAGATCTCTGGGGGTGGGGGGGGGCAGGTATGGGGGTATGGGGCTGTCAGTGAGAGGCCGGGAAGAAAGTTTGGGCACAAAGGCTAGAGCTCGGAGAGGGGCAGGCTGGGAGCGGGTCCGAAGGGCCTGGAGGTGGGAAAACAGCCTGCAGTTCGGTCTGGCTGGTACAGAGGGCACAGCTGAGCAGCCATATTGCTGGCCAGGGTGGGAGGCGCCTCCCCTCCACCCCTGGGAGTCAGAGCTGCAGCCCCTGTGTATCAGAAAGGTCCGATGGCCAAGCCCCAGCCCCGCCTTCCCTCTTCACCTGGAGGTTCCCAAGATGCACTGAGCCTGGGGGGGCTGGGTGGTGGGCCTGCAGCAGAGCTCCGGGCCAGCCACGCCTTCGACCCACGGGGCTCCAGGTTCTGCCCCGAGAGCTTACACTTTAATGGCCCCTCAGTGAGTCCTGCCACAGGCCAGCCTAGCTCAGCGTGGCAGGGTGCACGGCCGCAGGGCAGCGCCAGCCCGGCTCCCGGGGCCCCATCCGGGGAGCGGAGGCCAGAGACGGTCTCTGCGGGGTGGGTGCTGAGCTGCCGGTGGGCACGGGCCCTCCTGGGCACAGCGCGGGCACCTGAGCTTCACTGAGGCGTGTGGGAGAGCTCCCTGGAGCAGGTGCCACCACCCCCCACAGGGACGGGTGACGGGGACACAGAAACCGGGGGGAAAGGGCAGGACAGCGGGGAACTGGGACTCACAGGTGCCCTTGCAGCGGCCCCCCAGTGCCTCTGCCCTGAGCAAAAGCGGCGTCTTGCAACCCTGGCAGCACCGTCTGTCCAGCGTGGAGGCCTCTGTTAACCACAGACAGCTCCTCGGCCCCTTTCCCCCCATGATGGTCGTTGAACTTCAGCATTGGCTGGGGAAGAACATGGTGGCAGAGGGCTACTAAGAGCGCAGAGAGCTTTTAAGTGACCGTATTTATTAGTCATCACACACCCACAGGCCCTGTGAGACGGTGCCCGTGGGCGAGGTGTGCCCGCCTGGGGAGCAGGATGGGTCTGGTGTGCGATGTCGCCTCATTTCCTGAGCCCGCTGCTTACTAGTCAGAGCCTGGCTGCCACACTGCATGTGGTGGGAGTATCAGGGCGTGAAGATCCCCCCCTCCCCTCCCGGGAACTCTGAGCTCCCCCACCCCAGGAGCCGCTGGGAGACTCAGTGAGGCGGGTCACACAGGGTTTCCTTCCTCCGTCCGCAGCCAGGAAGCACACGTGCAGAGTAGGTGCCCGGGGAGCTGGGCAGGCGAGGCGGGGGGAGCACCGGCCCAGCCCTGGTCAGGCAGAGCTTCCAGAGCAAGGGGCGTCCAGAGACAGTGGCCCAGGGACGGGGCAAGGAGGATGGGGCTCCCCAGAGGGGAGCAGTGTGTGGAAGGCACAAGAGGAGGAGGGGAGCGAGGGACACAGCAGGGGGAGGGGCTGCGGAGTTGAGGGCCCCGGAGGCAGGCCTAGGGGTTTGGGTTTCTCCTGGACGCAGGGATGGGCCTGGGGGAGGGTGTCCAGGAGGGGAGTGGGGTGACCAGGTCTGCGGCTGTGGCTGTGGCGGGAAACGGTGGGGGAGGCTGGAGCAGTAGAGGGGTGGGCTGGAGAGGAGGGACATGGAACCCAAGGAGAGGGAGGCCACAGCCCCGGGGACTGGCGCCCTGTCGAGGGGTGTGAACGCTCAGCCGGACAGAGGTGGGTGGTGATGGCGCCAGAAAGCAGAGCAGCAGTGCAGGTTGCGGGTGGGGTGGGGAGTCCTGGCCAGGCAGACACTTGCACGGGTTAGCTGCTCAGGAGGGGCCTGGGCTGGGGACAGTGAGGGTCCCTCGTGGGTGGGATGGAGCAGACAGCCGGGCAGACCCTGGGACAGAGGCCTCAGGAGAGGGAGCCAGGAGCCGTGCTGAGGGACCACACCTGCCTGGTCCTTGGGGTGGATTTACTGGGGGAAGAGGGCGCCCCCCCCCCGTGTCCCTGACACCCTGCTCCCTCCCCAGAAGCCCCTGCAGCAGCTGTGGAACGCCATCCTGCTGGTGGCCATGCTCCTGTGCACAGGCCTCGTGGTGCAGGCCCAGCGGCAGGCGTCCCGGCACAGCCAGCAGGAGCCCGGAGGCCAGGTGGGAGCCAGCCCAGGGAGCCCCAGGCCCCCAGCCTGCGGCCCTGCCCAACGGTGCGCGTCCTTCCCCCAGGTGGACCTGCTCAAGCGCCGCGTGGTGCGCAGGCTGGCGTCCCTCAAGACGCGGCGCTGCAGGCTGGGCAGGGCGGCGCAGGGCCCCCCGGAGCCGGGCGCGGGCGCGGAGACCTGCGCCGTGTGCTTGGACTATTTCTGCAACAAGCAGGTGAGGCCCCGGCAGAGGCCCGCCATCCGCTGACCCGTGACTCCCCCACTCCCCCCGAGACCTGGGGACCACCCCCACCAGCACCGCGGAGAGCAGGATGGGGGTGGCAGGGCCCTGGGGTTTCAGTTCCCCAGCCTGGGTGAGGACAGGGGCCGGCACCCCCTGGAGGCCCGCAGCTGTGGCCTGAGCCCTTCCTCCCCTCCCCTCAGTGGCTCCGGGTGCTGCCCTGTAAGCATGAGTTTCACCGGGACTGCGTGGACCCCTGGCTGATGCTCCAGCAGACCTGCCCGCTGTGCAAGTTCAACGTCCTGGGTGAGCATCACGGGTGGGGCCCTGGGCTGGTTCCACCTGGTCCCCACCTGACGCCGCCCTCTCTGTTCTCTCCCCTCCTCCCTGCAGGGAACCGCTACTCAGAGGATTAGCTGCCCCAGCTGGCACTCTGCACAGGGAGATGGGACCCCCCTCCAACCTGCACTCTGGCCCTCGGCCTGGGCAGGACAGGAAACCCTAAGGGTGGGAGGAAAGATGGTGCCTTCCCTGCTGAGCAAGGCACCCCCCCACATCCACCGCCCCCAGGCCGAGGGTGCCGGGCCCAGACCTGCTGGCGAGTGAGGGAGAGGCCTCTTTGGGGCCTTTGTGTACAGTCCTGGGGTGTCTGTCTTCTTGCAGGCAGCCCCCGGGCCTGGGGAGAGGTGAGGGCGGTGGGAGCTCTGCCTGCCCGTCAGGACACCCCGGGGCCAAGGCTGCAGGGGCCACTTTTGTGCTTATTTATTGGGGGGTGGGTCGGGGAGCAGCTGTCTGGCCTCGGGGGCACCCTGGCCAGACCATCTTTCAGGACACATCTTGGTCAAGGCTGGATGTGAAACCCAGGGGCCTCCTGCCCGCGGGCCTTGGGCACTGGGAGCCAAGGGCTCCCGGCCGTCCAGCGGGGCCCCTCCTGCCTGGGGAGACCAGAGACCGCAGAAACCGTCCAGTTCTGTGCTGCTCGGTGGGGCGACGGTCACTGCCCAGGACACTTGAAGCCCCGGATAAATGTGGTGCATCTTCCAGGGGCGTCCGTTTTTTAGAAGACTTGGGGTAGGGGAGGTGGTTTACTATTAAAATAAACAAGGATATATTTTAACGTAAGAAATAAAATGTGCGTGGATGTTTTAAGATTAAACAAGCAAACCTCGGGCTCCGCTGCCTAAGGGAGGAGGGTTGTAAGACAGCCCCATGAACACGCCTGACAATCCGGGAACTAGGGCTCGAATGGT